TGGCGACCCCATGTATGTCAGAGTAGAACTGTGCACTATTGGGTTTTCAAGGACTGATTTTTAGGAAGCCGATCACCAGACCTTTCTTCTGAGGCACTTCTGGGTGAACTCCAATCTGCAACATTCCAGTTAGCAGATGAGCTGCTATCCAGTTGCACTTTTTCCAATAATAGCAACACATAATTGTTTTATATAAATTTCTTTACCATATCCATCAAAAAGTACGGCTTGTTATGGGTGGTTATTTAATATGATCACTTGTAAAGCACGTCATTAAAGTGTTCTTTTAGGACCGTTAGAGAGCTAGAGATTTATTTAATTCTGAAATTGCTGCCAAACAAGAATTTTTTGAAATGTAAAATTTACCTCCACAAAGACTCAAATTATATTAAATTTAAGTTATCTACTCAGACAATTTAGTCTTGACATACAAAGCAATCCTGTGGCAGCCAAGAAGACATTTTTATTAAAAAATTATTAAATAATTGATAATGCACATTTTAAGATTCTTTAGCTCGAAGAATCATAGATCAAAAACCTAGAGAACTCTTCCATAATGGAGTATAACAACAAGAACAACGAAAACACAACAAACCCATTGCTGTCGAGTCGATTCTGACTCATGGCGACCCTACAGGACAGAGGAGAACTGCCCCATAGGGTTTCCAAGGAGCGGCTGATGGATTCAAACTGCCGACCTTTTGGGTAGCAGCTGAGCTCTTAAGCACTGTGCCACCAGGGCCCCAAAATGGGGTATAGGGAAATATTAAAAAAAACAAAAAAATTCCATAATTTTATTCCAAAAAATTCATCATTTGCAAATCTGTGAGGGTAAAAAAGCTGCTGTGCACTGAATTCCAGAATTTTATCACATTTATTGTTCTCTACTCGTTCAGTGACTTCATTCACTTCAAACGGTAGAAAACCAGAACAGTATCCCTTAAAGGAACTTTCTTCCTAACAAAGAGAAGTGAAAGTGGGGAGAACTTTTGGTTCTCATTCACCAATGAACAGTTCGCTGTCATCTTGTGTTAGAGGCCTAGAATTTATCTTCCCATCACAGAGTAACGTGATCTGGCATTGATTCAAGTCATTATTTGTCTCCTTTCAATGCCAGGTATATTAAATAGTAAGTAAATAAACAAGCAAAACCTATTTATTGTCACAGGGAAGTCATTTGGTAGACAGCTTGTCAGAGTCTGGAAAATTAACATCTTTCTCAGACACTTTTTCTTCCCAACAGGTGGATACATTTAAGACAAATACATAACATAGGCTGGTATTATTAAAGGCATAACTATGCCTCCTGCATATGAAGCTTAACAGAAAGTAGTAAAACAAATTTCAGATTTTGTTACTGCTTTGGTGCAAAGTATGTGTGTGTTTTAATTTTAATCATTTGTAAGGTATAGCCATGCCTGTGTTCTCATTATTAGCATTGATCAAACTCGCCACAGATAGAAACAAAAATAAGTGGAAGAGCTGTTTACATACACCATTGTTTCTTGTTTATCTGGCTACTCAATCCTCCTGTTCAGGCCTGGGAAGTCGCAGAAAGGCAGCACTGGTCTCAGATGAACTACTTCAAGATCTCAGACGAAATACGTCAAAAACTTCTTCAAAAAAGCTGGGTTGCAGCTTTTTGGAATGTCTTCCAGTGGCTTGAGAAAAGAACTAACAACTTAGATGTTGTTCATGCCTTCCTTCTACAATTTAAGTGTACTCAGAGCAAGCAAAGACATCAATAATAAATACAAAGATGAGGGAGAGAGAATGTAAAAACACAAAAAATTGTCATTACAACAGTTTAAAACACAGTGCCTGAGAATCGGCTAATGTTAGAAGAAAAAAAAAATTAGGTTGTAGTTGCAACAGCTCATGATACAATGACCCAATGGTGACAACGGCCTAATGGAAACGCTTAAGATATTTGTTCTTAGTTTTGTTATTATTGTTACTATAAATATTATTGTAAGAAGTAGTAGTAGTAGTAGTAGTAATAGTCAAGTATTTTGGATAATTCCTCAACAATAACTCAGAGTTCTGATTTACATTAATTTATAGGGGAGTTCATCAGGTTTAGGGAAAGGTAGACCTAATTTCACAACAGAGAACAAAACTTCCTTGACTCAAAAGCATCATGTCCTAATCTACAAAGTAATCACCGGTTTGAACAGTTCAGTGATTCCTCTTTTCCTTAAAATTTAAGAACAAAATCCTTAGTCAGTATTGTGGGTTTATCCAAGCCAATTTGTCTTTTTGCAGGTATTAGGTTGTGTTGGCACACACTGGACATCATGTAGCTGTGTGTTGATTATGACAATTTTCTGGCATGCAACTGTACACGCTTGTCTTCAACACACACACACACACACACTCACAATGTGGCACACAGAGTGTCATGCAATCTGTTCTTATTCAACCAATAGTGTCTCTCTCTTTTGGCCCTCCCACCATGGCCGTATATAGGAGATTCAACTGAGGTACACAGAACAATAGCCCAGTGCAGAATTTGTCCGCCTTTCTCCTGCAATAAGAAGGTAGAATAGGCAGGACGGAACAGAGCTGTAAGCCAAGAATGTGCTCCAAAGGCGTAGGCTGCTGAGCTCCCTAGATTCTCATGCCTTGCCCAGGCAAGGGTGCAGGTACTATGCATTATATCAAGACAATCACATTTTCTAATAACACACATTTCACTAATGGAAAAAAATATTTCTACCCTTTCTTATTCTACCTAAAAATGTGAGTAGTGCTCATCATGATAACATATAATGGAACTATTCTCTTTGGAGGGTAGAATCCTCATTAGAATCTTCCAATGCCAAATAGCCATCCCTGGACTGTGTATCCCTGATTATTCCTGAGTATTTCAAATGTTACCTAATGCCTCTAGGAGATAGATGAACACATTTCTATACCACACTGACTACGCTAAGGTATTTAAAAAAAAAAAAAAAAAAAAAACACAGAAAATATAACACAGCAAAGGCTTGCCATGATACGGCATTCTTTGTATTCTTTTCCCTAACTACCCCCTGGCATGTGCCTCAAAAATGCCTCATGCAAATAACATCTCCTGTGCCACTGTGAAGGGGCCCTAGTGGCACAGGGGTTAAGTACTGGCTGCTAACTGAAAGATCAGAGGTACAAGTCCACGAGCCTCTCTTTGGGAGAAAGATGTGACAGTCTGCCTCTGTAAGGATTTATAGCCTTGGAAACCCTACGGAGTAGTTCTGCTCTGTCCTAGAGGGGTCACTATGATTTGGAATCAACTTAATGGCAATAGGTTTGGCTTTGGTTTGGGGGCTATTATCTGTTTTACTTTCTCTATCTGGAAAAACTTACCTCTCCCCAATCTTCACTCAACAAAATTCTATCCATCCTTCAAATCTAATATTTAATAACAAGTTTTACTAATTCCTTTTATTTACTATACATGTAACAACACTTAATAACACATTTTATGCATTTAATGACATTAATAATATTTAATAGCAAATTTTCTAGACATTTTATAACAAATTTCAATAACAATATACATTTATTGAACACAGACTATATCCTAAGTAATGGGACCAAATAATATATGTTGTCCTTGACCTCAGGTAACCTACCAGCATGGAAGCAAATTATGGAAAATCAATGTGATGAGTACTACGGTAGAGACCTTTATGACAAATTTTCTGCTAAAATAGCCCAAGGAAAAGACCATCTAAGTCTACTTGGGAGGATCTTAAAGGCATCTCAAAAAAACCAAAAAACACAAAAACCTGCTTGAACTGAGATTAAAGGATAAACAGAAGCTGTTCTGCTGAAAAAGGCAAAGGCCAAGAATCACGTAAAAGAAAAATCTAATCTTACAAGAACAGATCATACAGTTATTTTTGAGCCTGGTTGCTTACCGTGCATGTGTGGCATGGTAAGAAATTTGAGTCCATATATTGTAGACTCTGGCAGCCACTGAAATATGAAACATAGGGAGTGATTCCAAATGATCATTTCAGAACGATCACTCTTACCGCCATATGGAAGATTGACTGGATGGGGCAGGACTGGAGAGAGTGTAATCGGAATTTCAAATGATTCACATGAGTAATAGAGACTTGGTGGTGCAGTGGTTAAGAGCTCAGTTGCTAACCCAAAGGTCGGCAGTTCGAATCCACCAGCCACTCCTTGGAAACCCTTTGGGGCAGTTCTACTCTGTCCTGTAGGGTTGCTATGAGTTGGAATGGACTTGATGACAATGGGTTTGGTTTTTGAGGGGGGGGCATACGTAATGAGGAAGGCCTGAGGTAAGGCAGTAACAGTGGGAATAGAGTGGTGCAAGTGGGAACAAATATGAGATTTAATTAAAAAGCATAAGCAGTTTGACTTGCTCACAACCAAAGTATGAGAGTGAATAAAGGGTTGATGACTAAGATGGCTGTCATGGTGCACGGTATTGGTGTCTATGCCACAAAATGAGGGAAGAAACATAAAGGGAGAAGCACCTCAGGGGAGAGAGGGGAAAACACTGATTCCAGTTTCAGAAAGGCTGAGTCTGAAAAGTCTGTGTGATATCTAAAAGGTACTTTTACATATTATTCTAGAGTTCATCATAAAATCCTGAATACAGATATAAATTTTGGGTCATCATCATAAGCTACTAGATGAAAGAACAGACATGAGCAAGGGGCATGTCATAAAATAAAAGGAAAAGAAGACCTAGGCTGTAATTCTTGGAAATGGAATCATTTAGGAAGTCGGTGTAGAAAAGTAGAATTTTTTTTTTAATTTTACTGTGCTTTAGGTTAAAGTTTACAGCACAAATTAGTTTCTCCTTCAAAAATTCATAGACAAATTGTTTTGTGACATTGGTTACAATTCCCACAATGTGACAGAACTCTCCTTCTTTCCACCCCTGGTACCCTGTGTCCATTCATCCAGTGTTCCTGTCCCTTCCTGCCTTCTCATCTTGCTTTTGGGCAGGAGTTGTCCATTTGGTCTCGTATATTTGATTGAAAAATATAGAACACTGCACAGATTTGCGTGTCCTCCTTGCACAGAGGCCATGCTAATCTTCTCTGTATTGTTCCAATTTGAGTACATGTGCTGCCAAAGCGAGCACGAAAGAAAATCTACTGAAGAGACAGGGGAGAGCAGTCAGGCAATACGAAGGGAATTAAGAGAAACTGAGAGGTCAAGAAGTAGGAGAGAAAAGAGTTTCAGGATGAAGGGTATCCACATTGTCAATTTCTCCAAGAGATAAAGTAAAATAATAATAATAATAATAAAAGAAGAATCCATTGGATATGGCTCTTAGGAACTCATAGAGGCTGTAGTGAAAGCAGATTTAGTGAAGTAGTGGGGCAGAAGAGAGTACCTTCTCAACGTTGCCTTTATTCTGTTTATTAAGTCATTTTGCTCTTTTCTAACCCCCTCACTGGTGTGTCCTAGTCACTTTTCTTGGTTTCCACTATAGCACTTCATGCTACACCTTGTAAAACATTTCTTGAATTATTTGATCTTGTATATAATATTCAAGATAACAGACCTGTGCTAAAACCTAAATGGAAAATTCATCTCTAAAAATCTATCTTCCTATCTACAAAATTCATGGTTTATTTCCTAGAAAAAAATTAAATAAAATTCCATACCCATCTTAGCCTTATCTTTTACTGAGATTCTGCTTTTATTTCCAGCAAGGCTAACCACCTTGATTAGGGGCAAATAGAGGTCATCCGGGAGGGACTTTAAAACATGCTGTGTAGCTGTTGAAAGAGCATGACAATAAACCTGCTTGAAGAATTTGTTGTTGCTGTTGTTTTGGAGAAATTCATAGTCAATTCCCATAGCTATGAATCCCCTTCTCCTCAACCATGAAGGTTTAGGGATACCTTTCTCTTAAAATTCACGGAAGGTTAAAGTAGAGTAACCTTCCTTAACTGGTAGAAGGGAAATTGTTTCCAGATAAAGTGCATAATTGTCATGGTTTGAATTATGTCCCCCCAAGGATGTGTGTATCGGTTTGGCTGGGCCATGGTTCCTGGAATTGTGTGGTTAGCTTCTGTTTTGTGATTGTAATTTTATGTTAAAGAGGATTCTGGTGGGATTGTAACACCACCTTTACCCAAGTCACATCCCTGATCCAATGTAAAGGGAGTTTCCCTGGGGTGTGGCCTGCACCACCTTTTATCTCTCACGAGTTAAAAGGAAAGGGAAGCAAGCAGAGAGTGGGGGACCTCACACCACCAAGAAAGAAGCACTGGGAGCAGAGCGCGTCCTTTGGACCCGAAGTTCCTGAGCAGAGAAGCTCCTAGTCCAGGGGAAGACTGATGACAACGAGGACCTTCCTCCAGAGCCGACAGAGACAGAAAGCCTTCCCCTGGAGGTGACATCCTGAATTTGGACTTCTGCCCTACTTTGACTGTGAGGAAATAAACTTCTCTTTGTTAAAAAAAAAAAAAAAATTCCATATCCAATATAGTGCTGCTCATATAGTTTGTATTTATATAGGGAGAAGAGGAAGCTATCAAGACTTAGTCTTCTGGAAGTGAACACGAATCCCAGGTGCTTCTGGGGGATGAGAATAAGATATTTTAAATTCTTATGCCGTAGGATTCATAACCTCGGGATACACAGGAAGTCTAGGGAGTCAGAAGCTCAGCAGGAGGAGACAGACAGTGCTCCGTAATCACTTTTGGTGCAGAGAAGGGAACAAGGGAGAGAACCCCGTCACGGCTGTTGTCTTATCATAGACAATAGCTGCCTTTGGCGCACGCACACACACATACACACACACACACACACACACACAGACACACAGACACACACACACACACAATTGACGTCTGCAGAAATTACAAAGCGTTAACAGTCCTCTGGCACACAGACAGTTTAAAATTGAAGACCAGGCAACGATCCACTGTGCCCGGTTTGCCGCGATTCCCCCATGAGCTATCTTGAGCCCGTCTACCGCTCTGGGCACTGCGCGGGCTGCTCTAGTGGTTTTACACCTCTGGGCCAACGTAAGAACACACCACACAGAGTGACCCCGAGCTGGACTAGACAAATAATTAATTCTCAACTCAGAAGCCAGTGCTGCCGGCTGCAGCTGACGAAAAGCAACGTTTACCCCGACTCGAATGCTGAGTGCGCAAACTTGGAAAAAGCCCCCGTGTCGTGATATTTGCCATATGTCTGAGTGCCGATCTTTTCGTATAGTCCCCTACCCCCTGATTTCCCCAGTGATAGCCTAGGAACCAAGAGCGGTCTGAGAAAATCTTTTTTTTTTTTCTCCCTACTACACTAGAGCATGGTTCAGCCTGTTGAGATGAAGTATTCTTTACCATTCTTAAAATCAGGGGATCTGTTTTAAATATATGAAATGTTCAAATTGGTATAAATTCAGGCACCTCCCCGCCCCCACCCCTTTCCTAAAACCGCGTAGCACAGTGGTTAATGGTTCCGCTGCTAACCAAGACGACGGCAGTTCGAATCCACCAGGCATTCCTTGGAAACACTATGGGGCAGTTCTACTCTCTCCTATAGGGTTGCTATGAGTCGGAATTGATGGCAACGTGTTTGGTTTTGGTTTTCCTAAACCCAGTTTAAATTGCAGTTACCTATATGTGGCCCCATAAATTTCACTGCATTCACAAGACTGATAAAGCCAGGAGATCAAGGCAGAAGGTCTACTCCAAGTATACAATGAGAATTTCTCTTTGGAAACTTCAAAATCAGGTACCTTGGCACTCCAATTTTTTTCCATGTTTCATACAAAATATGCCAATATGTATTATGAAAATTAGCAAAAAATCTCTTGGTTAAGGTGTACTATTTTTACACTCAAGGTTTGATAACTGTATCTATATAGGTCACAAGCACGCACCAATATATATGATTAATTTTCTCTTCTTACTATTTTTTTCTGAAGAATTGATTTTGGATAAACCAATGAAAAAATTCAGGACAACCTAATTCATATAATTTGATTCAAATAATCTGGAGGTTTTAATAATGCCCAGAGAGCAAAAGAAATGCATTTAATATTTACGCAAATATGGTCCCTGGTGAGGTTCTCATCGGCCAAGGCCATAGTGGTCCACTGAAACCCCATGCCTCTCTTTTTGTTTCACTCCAGGGATCTGTAACAAGGCTGTGAATATCACAGACAGAACCTTAGTTTCTTGAAGTCTTACCGCCTTCTTACCGCCTTCTTACCGCACTGCTCTGGAAGGGGAACTAGGTTCTTAAAAGATATGGGGACTATGGACCTCATCTTCTCACCAGCATCGAGGAACACCTCCACTCCCTTGATACACTCAAATACACTGTCTAATATCCCTTCTGTATAGCTTCTTTCTTTCATGTTCTTAAACTTTTACATGAAAGGGGAAAAATCAGAAAGAGCTGCAGTCTTCCTGGAAATGTTGATTCAGGAGTATAAGATCCCCGAGGCAAGGAAATGCTAGGGGCCTTGCTCCCTTGGTGGAGAAATGAGAAAGAGCAAGGGAGACAAATTCAAAACCCGGTAAAACTCAATGTTAAACAAGGTAGCCCGCCATCACTGTGGTTAAGAGCATAGACGAGCCTGGGTTCAAATTCTGACCCTGACTTTTACAAGTTATGTGACCTTGGGCAAGACATGTTAATCTCTTTTTTTCCAACTTTTTATTGAAGTATACTATATATTAATATATATGCTACAGGTGGATGGAATTTCACAAGGTAAACAACATATGTAACCAGAACTCAGTTCTAAAGAACGAATGACATGCACACCACAGAAGTCCCTCTCCTTGCTCTCTTCCAGTCACTGGCCGCCTTGCTAAGATAACCACTATCCTGACTTCTGATAACATAGAGTAGCTATTGTTGGCTTCAAGAGACACAGCCCCTTAGCCTCTTTTGCCCCATCTGTGAAATGGGGATTATAATAGTACATTTACCGTGGGGTTGTAATGAGAACGAAATGAGTTAATATCTATAACATTTTTAAAAGAGCCTACTACATAGTCAGTACTATATATGTGTGTGTTGGTTAAATAAAAATAAAAAGCTTTAGGAAAATTAATGTCATGTTTGATTCATGGTTTAGCATAATATAAGTTGTATGATACTAAACCTATGAATTGTGATTAATAATAGTTAATTGACATATGATAAAGGAAAGGATGACCTACTCTTATGCGGACCTCTAGTTAAACCAAAAATCTATTTCATGGATTTATTGTTCACCTTTAACTGTGACCTTAGAAAAATACTATATGTACTTCTCAGGTGGGTTGGATTGAAATAATATTTAAACGTAGATATATCTCAACAGTGATTGAATGTAGTTTCTTTCTGAAACCCATCGGTTTCCCTATTGTGGAATGGTTATATATCATTCAGGTATCATTTCAAAGAACCTACAGATATTGCTCAAATTCTTCTGTTGTATTAAAGTCATATATTGTTCACATACAAGTATTTTAGCTTGAAAAAAGTAGACATAACTGGGTTGCAAATTTTTTGTTTAAATAGATATGGTTATTAAATTTTAAAATACATCCCTATTAAAGAGAAAAGTATCTAGAAGAGATACATCTGGTATATCAGGTTAAAGCGGTTTATTACATTCCTAAAAGACTATGAGATAAACATTAAGAATCCTGTTTCATTTATCACCATTGCATGGAATTGATTTTCCATCCTTAGAAGTAAGGAAATTTTGTAACTGAGCCACCAGAGATAGCATGACTTGAATCCAAATACCTTTTTTTTTTTCAAGAAAAAGAACTAAAAACTAGAAAAAAAATCCAAGTTGAGAAAACAATGTATAGATTAGAATATCATCTCATGTACATTTTATGATGTTTCATTTTCTTTTTATTATTGAGTACCTATCATCTTATTGATTTAATTTGTTGAAAAACTTTACACTGATTCACTCATAAATTATGTTTGCTATATTCAGTGACATTTAATAATCATACACTTACATCAGAAGATACAGAATCTGATGTGACATTTGGAAAACAAATGACAAAATGACTAACAATACTGAATTTGAAAGTTATAAAATTGGGAAAATATTTAATAAATAAATTTTATAAGCTTCAAGTATAGAAGTACTCAGTATAG